TCAACATATTCTGTTACACCAAATACACAAAATAATGATCTTTAAAAAAGCATCATATGACCCCTTTAAAACAACTGGCTTTAGTTTTTAGTGTTTTTTATTTATTTAGACAAAATAGTGTGGTACTTCATAATCAGAAACTTTCAATATGAGTATGTGTATTTAAGTCCCGACTAGGTTTAGACCTAGGTTTGAGGTCTCATTGTAACACATACAATCAGGGTTCAGCGGTGAGTCCTTGTTGACACAGACTCTCCATGACACCCAGAGGCAGAAAACACACACACACACACACACACACTCTGCAGCATTCTCCACTATAAATAACCTTCACCTAAAGCGGTGTGTTTGCTAAGTGAGGATGTAGAGATGCTGAGGTGGACCTGAGGCCCGAGCAGCTATAGAGCTGTAAACGAGCACACGACACTCACAGATGCGTCATCCTGCCACAATCGTCCACCCTGCAGCCCGCTGCCCTGTCAGAGCAAACCGGCCCGCAGATACAGGAAGTTATGGAGATGACAAATGCATTAATATCATCCGCTTCCGTTCTCGTCCTCACTGAGGCTCTTTCTCTACATGACCCGGTTAATATTAGTCACAGCAGTTCACTGTGTGTCTGATGGATATTATACACAAAACCACAAGTTTTGTTAGTTATTGGCCAATATTAGAGAATTTTTAATTGTGCATGCTTATTTCCCATATTTTTACATTTAAATGAAACATTTGTTCTTTCATTGGTTTTATGTGTGTGTGTGTGTGTGTGTGTATATATGCAAAAAAAAAATATATATATACAGTATATATATATATATATATATATATACTGTATATACTGTATATATATATACTGTATATATGCAAAAACACAGCTAAATGTGATTGGTCACTTTATGTGTCAATCAGATCACCAAAGGTGCCAAAAAGAAGATGATTGGATTGTTGTGCTGGCCAGTAAAACTAAATCTGCACCTGCTGATGAGTGTGTTAAAGCCTTGATGTGAAGCCAGTTCTGAAAGCATCCCTCATCTGAGGCAAGAGCAGAAGATACCAGCGTCCCACCTGAATCTGAACAGTCTCAGCGAGAAGCTCCTGTCTAATTAGCAAGCTCTGTTGAGGAACGCCTCGCTGCGCTGGCCAGTTAAAGCACTTCCTGTTGAACACGACTGATTAGAATGGCTGGTTTAGCACAGCAGAGGTGGGGTTGTGAAGGAGTCACTAGGAAGCAGCTCTAATGTAAGTTACAAAATGATCATCAGAGAAATTATTGCTCATTATTTACACACATAATAATAATGTTATAATATTAAGTAAGTAATAATAGTAGTTGTTGAAAGCTTCAGTTTTGTTGCTGATGCATTAACTAACACAACCACAACAACCCTCTACATTGCGAGTAAATCACTCGCATATGCGACTAAATCTTACTCTGGGCGACTAAATGATGTCTAATATTAGCCTATTGCTAATAAATTCTCAGATTTTACTCGCCAGTGTGTGAGTTGGAGGCTAAGTATAAGTTTAGCTCAGATATATTTTCACTCGCCGAACACTCTCTGACTGAGCGCTTCAGAGTTTCTCTCTCCGCCAAGCGATCTGTGCTGTTTTTCAGTTAATCTGAATGGATGCGCAGTGCACCTGTATTTAACCTGAATGACCAAAAAAGCACCACCACCAGTCCGAAGTTCAGTTAAAATGACTAATATGCATTCATACATGGTTATCAGGTTTTAATTCTAATTACAAAAGTTCTATCATTAAATAATATTGATTATCATATTATAATGCTTGACTGACTGATGTTAAGAGTGTACTTTCAGATATTTATAAAACTGTGCCATTTTATAAACAAATATATATATATATATATGCACAACAATTGGGTTCTGGAATTTAAACTCAGAATAGATTACTGCTTTTTGTTGTTATAATAATAATATTTATATATATATATACACGTTGCATTTTAGCAAATTCCAAGATGAATATCCTTTTTTCATGCTGCACATCATAATGTTGTGATGCCTAAATTCATCTGTAGCAATTAAAACACCTGACATTAGTTTTTAAAATTTATATAGACAAAATAGTGAAGTGTTTTATAATCAGCTATAATTTGTTATCATTTCAACACCAACACTGTAATTGTTTTAATTATAAAAAATTAATAAGGCCCTTAAATGTAATATTTAAGAAATCTCAAAATGTTTAAAGTTAAGTTAGACAAAACAGTGTAGTGCTTTACAAACAAAGTTTGGGCTCAGTAAGATTTTTTTTTTAAATATTAATTGTATTCAGTATTTTATTACATTATTATTTCGCAATATTACCATTTTCACTATATTTTGATCATTATATGATATATGCATTATATATATATATTTTTTTGTAACATCCACAATGCATTATAGGTAAAGTTCATTCACTCATAATAGATGTTATACTCTCTGTTTTCTCATATCAAAGTTTTAGGGCTGGTTGGTTTGGATCATGGTTTTAAACTCTTGATTGAAGGATTTTTAAACATGCCTACTGAGGAAACAGATGGCATAAATATTTGCAGAAAGAGCAGCTAGTAGTGAAAAATCTGCGTAAGGAACCAAAAAATAAATAAATTAAAAATACATACATGCATAAAAATAATAATAATAAACTCAATTTGACACTCACTGATTTCAGATTTGGCAGGCGGCGTGAGGTTCAGTCTCTCCAAAGAGTCGCTGTTCTCCTCGTCTAGAACATGATTGAAGTTCAAGATGAACATCATCACAACTCCTTCCTCGTTCTTCACTGGGATGATGTGAGTGTTACACTGGAAGTCTGAACCTACAAGAGGAACAAGAAGACATGTTTAGTTTTCACAAGCACAAACTCTGATTCACTCCTCGTCTGCTGTCTGGAACACATCTAACTTGATAATGAAGATACATGTCACAGTCGATCATACTGAGAGCTGCGAAGGAAACAGAAGACGACCGGAGATTTTAAACTGCCAAATCAAGAGGATGAGAGCCAAATTTAAGCTGTTATTCACTGAAAATCTTCCCTTGTAATAGAGGTGTAACGATACACCACTGCCACGGTTCGGTTCATATCACGGTTTTGGAGCCACGGTTCGGTTCGGTTCCTTTTGGTTTGCAGTGATGGTAGGGTTCATGACATGACACCAGCAATGCTAAAGAACATTAGATTCACTTTTGACATAATAATAATAATAACAACAATAATTGCTCTCTGTTCATGTTAATTAATGCATTAACAAATGAGAATTTAAAAATTGTTGCTTTGTAAAGTGTTACCAAAAAATCTATTGCCTTAAAAAAATTAAAATAAAATAAAATAAAATAATACCTAAATAATGCAAACAAGTCATTAAACAACATTACTTAGGCTACATATAAAAATGCATGCACCTGGATAAATAAAATGGAATAGCCGGACAATAAGGAAATTATTTTAATCAAATATGTAATAACTCAATCTGACACTCGAGAGTCGCAAGATGTTTGAGAGGCGACTGTGTACGCTTTGGCTGAGAGCGCATTCTTCAGAGAGAGTATGGGTTAAAACAGCTTGAATGTTTAAATCGGCATGACTTAAAAGTATGTGCAAGTGACAATTCCGTCAACTGTCCGAAACACGCGCTAGTCTAGTATTGCAGCATGCAGCTCACTCGCAGAGCGAACTCAACGTGGATATTATGGATGTGAGGCCATTTGTGCATTTTGAGAGAGTGAGAGAAGACGCAGTACCACTCAGTCCCAATCACTCACGCTGTTTGTGAAATTCCGTCTCACAGAAAGTTTTTAAATGATCTGTGTGTGTGTGTGTGTGTGTGGATTACTGCAAAATGTTCCCTTTATAATCAGTAGAAATTATAGTTGCAGGATAAAACCCAAAAGAACATAATTAGACCCCTCCAAATACACTTTTTGTGAACTCCGTCTTCAAAGCAGATGGACTGAACCATAACAAACTAATTTGCACTATACAGCAGGAGAAGGTGAGATTTAGGAGCTGAACCTGAAGGAGTGAAGAGGTGATGGCAGCTTTCATCTGCTGTCCGATATAGACGCTGCATTACTGAAAAACCCACTCCAGCGCCGACAGCACCAGTGAAAAGAGAGAGAGACAGAGGCCCCTGTCCTGAGCTGGAGGGTGTGATCATGGATAAATGCGCTGAATCAGACCCGGAGGTCAGAGGTCACAGCCTGTGCTTCTCTCTGCAGGCTTAGCCCTGTTCAGCTGCCCTTATTCTGCGGGACTTAGAAGCCTGTGACAGGCACTATACAGCACAATGAATCTGTCCACATGGATGCAAATGTTCTCCTCTTATCTTTTTTCTTTTTGAGTCCAATCCATCCTTATCTCCTGCTAATTGAGTTCACTACCAAAGCCTCTTTAGTAATGAAAAGATACAAAAATGCTCAGGCTCCTCATATCTGCTGCACTGACGGATTATTAAAATGTTTGGGTGTTTGTTTGAAAGATTGTGACTGACATAATATACAAATAGCATCGGTCCTGGATGCTGATGGAGACGCTGAATGCTTGAACTTGACATTATGTCTTAAAAACTGTTTATGGCACTGGCAGAGACGTGAACACAATGCGTAAAAACGTCAGTCTGCATGTGTAAATAAACCAACAATTCAAAAAATGTCGCAAACGGTGTACAAGAACATATTCTTTATGAACCGAACCATGGTTACATGCGTAACCCGAGTCGTTTATAAATCATTTTTAATGAAAGAAGTCTCTTTTGCTCAGCAAGGCTGCATATATTTGATTAAAAATACAGTAAAAACTGTAATATTGGGAAATATTATTAAAATTTAAAATAGCTGTTTTCTATTTGAATATATAGTAAAATATGTTATTCCTGTGATCAAAGCTGAATTTTCAGCATCATTACTAAGCTCTTCAGTGTCACATGATCCTTCAGAAATCATTCTAATATGCTGATTTGCTGCTCAACAAACATTTCTGATCATTATCAATGTTGAAAACAGTTGTGCTGCTTCGTATATTTTTGTGCAAACTGATACATTTTGTTTCAAGGCTCTTTTATGAATAGAACGTTCAAAATAACTGCATTTACTTGAAATAGAAACATTTAGTAACATTATATAAATGTCTTTACTGTCTTTCTATCTTTCAGACCCCTCCTCGTGGTCACAGTCAGAGCCAGCAGGAGTCAAACACATCAGCTCATCTTCCACAGCGCTGAAGCTCATACAGGACACAAGCAGGGGATCGTCTGGAACATGCTGCACTAAGCATTTCCCACATCCTGAGCAGTACATAAACGTCTCCAGCACCAGCAGGTATCATTAATACTTCCAAAACAACACCGGCAAGAAAAATGGATCAAATGAGGTGTGTAATATTCTGTGGCAACTCTGCGCAAATGTAATTTAATCTACATGTTCAGTATACCCTAATGAGCATGCAGAGGAGAAAGTGTTCGGAAAATCTTCTGAACACGAGGAACATCACGTTCTGTCAATGAGAAGATACGATCACAAAATTATTTCAGCCATTTGCTAAGATGTCCCAATGCAAATATATCAAACTGACAATAGCCTGAATGTAAAATTGAATGTGCAGCTTATTAAAGTGAAGAATTCGGCCTGTTTTACACCGCACACAATTTCAGTCAGATTTACTGAATAGAAAGTGGCGTTTATGTGTGTAATGGACCGATGGAAAAACCTGGTAGCAAAATCAACCAATGGATTTCCATGCATTTTCCTTATTTTTCCATTAAATTGTGATTACCGGATAATAATTTTTTACAAATGATTTTTAGAAATTGTGCACATATACAGTGGTTTCTAGTAGGGATGCACCGGTATCGGGCCCGATACTGGTCTCCTGTACTCGTACTCGTTAAAATGCCCCGATACCAAATGCCGATACCACACAGCATGTGATAAGCGCCATATTCAAACAAAGAAACACCGACAACAGAACAACAGACAGCAGAAAGGAGTTAAGGATGTCTACTACGAAGTATATGTATGCAATGAATATAACGTTAAACATTCAGTGTTAACGCCTGTATAGCTGGTGTGCGCGAGCTGATAAACAAATGACAAATCATACCCAAAAATTCTTCATACAGTGGACTACCAGTAAAATTGATACAAATTTGGGTCCAAAAATTAGTCTGGGGAAAAACATTGAAGTTGACGTTTGCATGAAGCTGGGAGACAGCATGCCCAGGAGACTACAGGCTGTCATTAAGGCTAAGGGTTGTCTGACTAAGTATTGATAGTTGTGTAAATACTGTCATACTAACAGCTGTCTGAATAATTTTTGGTTTATTGTAACCCATTACATACCTTTCTATCAAAGTTATCTAACATTATCAAGCTGAATTTGTTCTGACACAGTTTAACTGA